CCCCTTAACCCTATTTTATTTTTAAAAAGAGTTCTTTTTGCACACCCATGTTTACTGTGGTTTTGTTTACAATAGCAAAGAGCTGGAAACAACCCTAAGTGCCCATCAACAAATGAATGGATCGAGAAGCTCTGGTATATTCACACAATGGAATGACTATACAGCATTGAAAAACAAAGAACTCATGAAATATTATTCAAAATAGGTGACCCTGGAGGACATTATGCTGAGTGAAATAGCTCAGTCACAAAAGGACAAATATTGCATAGGGCCACTGTTAAAAAACGGGACTGACATCAGGGTTGAGGGAAGACAGAGAAGGAGGGGAAGGAATGATACACACTCTATTGAAACAGATGAGGGAGAGATCTGTTTAAAAGGGACTTATGATTGGGTATTATTGTCATGACAGGAGTCCAGAGTGAAGGCTGCACAGTGGAGTGGACCTGGGGGGAGGGATGGCCTAACAATGAAAGAGTTTTTCTTTTGCTTCTCAAGGAGAAGAGTGAATTGGGGGAGAGGGGTGGGCATGGTGAAAAGTGCAACAATGAGTGAATGGAAACCCTAAGTTTCTGTAAGCTTTCATTAAAATAAATTTAAAAAAAAGTTCTTTTGTAATGTGGTGTTCAAAACAGAAGAGTGAAAACTGGCACCTATCAGGAATTTTGAATTCTAGTGCTCATTATTCATTATTATTTTAATTGTGCTGATTTTTGGTGAGCTAACCTCAGCCTCCATCATATTGCCCTCTTCTTAAAATCTGTGTGCACAGAGAGGTCACCTTGTCCAGGACTGTGCATTTTCAGGCTTATGGGGTTTATAAGATCGACCAATGCAATCATTCATAATGACTTTCCAATTGGCCTTAAAGTTTTAACACATGATTGCTTCACTCCTGGACTGTGACTTTCAGTGGGAGATGGAAGTTTTCCAGAGAACTGAACCGTGGAAAAATGACCTTTCCTTAACGTGAAGCTACTTATCTGAGGGTCTGGAGCAAAAGAGGGATATCGGGTTGGAGTCATGATGCCATCGGGTGAGAATAATAATTAACTCCAGGGATGGCATCACTGGAGAGACAACATATTTCACGTTAAAATGCTTGTCAGAAGATCCCAGAAAAGTTCTCAATTCCAGGGACAGCTAATTATTCATGCAGAAGTGTATGTGTCTGAACACTGTTCTCTTTTGATCTTATTTGTACTTTTTGGCCTGGGATATGGGTTTTACATGGACATTGTCTGTACCAGCTTCATTAAAATAAACAAAATAGTTGTGTTAAAAAAAATAAAAAGACACATCTGTTCAGTGAGCACAGAAAGAGAGAGAGATGAACAGAAAAAGAGCAGCAGGTATGAAGACATTGGGGAGCTCAAAGACGTGCACTGGGCTGTTAGGAGAGGTGTGTACCGCAGTTGTGCACACTAAAGGGTTCCCTTCATTTGAAAAGGGTAAGAAACTATGAAGCCAGGACAGCTGAGACTATGAATTACATGAGATCAACTAGCAACTCCATATTCTCTAACTCTGGTCCCAGCTATCCAGCCTCCCATCCACCCATCCATCCATCCAACCACCCATCCATCGACCCACCTTCCCATCCATCCATCCACCCACCTTCCCATCCATCCATCCATCCA